CCAACTCAATTGTAGCCGCCTTGGATTCCTCGACTCCCGTGACCAAACAGTACTTGACTCGAACTGTTGCGATGTTTCGCTGTAAACAGTGTTACTACTAGCTTCTTGTTACTACTAGTAAGGCACCTGTTACTACTAGCGTGGCACTTGTTACTACTAGCTTCTTGTTACTACTAGTAAGGCACCTGTTACTACTAGCGTGGTACTTGTTACTACTAGCTTCTTGTTACTACTAGTAAGGCACCTGTTACTACTAGCGTGGCACTTGTTACTACTAGCTTCTTGTTACTACTAGTAAGGCACCTGTTACTACTAGCGTGGCACTTGTTACTACTAGCTTCTTGTTACTAGTAAGGCACCTGTTACTACTAGCGTGGCACTTGTTACTACTAGCTTCTTGTTACTACTAGTAAGGCACCTGTTACTACTAGCGTGGCACTTGTTACTACTAGCTTCTTGTTACTACTAGTAAGGCACCTGTTACTACTAGCGTGGCACTTGTTACCACTAGCTTCTTGTTAACTGTGAACTTGAGATCCTATTTGACCCTTGAGATCAGCAGAGTCAGAGTTTCTCGCTTTCAGACACGTGGCGTCCGGCTCGCTCGGCTCGCTGTTGCGATGTTTCGCTGCGTCGATGAGTCCGACGTGCGGGCTCGCGTCGGAGCGTCGGAGCCGTGAGGCCGCTGTATCCGGGCAAAGGCCCCCAGGAGTCTGCGATCCTGTGCCTCACACGATTTCTCAGAGCGAGGCCAGCACCATGGAGATTCTATCTGGATGAGTGACATGGTCTGAAGCCGCACTGGCAACTTGAGCCACACTAATTTCGGATGATTCTTTCTACTAGGTAGAGTTTGAAAGTGGAAACATGCTGGCCTTTGCTTGTATGGGCAGCAGCATGTCCTTTAGCGGCCATCAGGAACCCCTTGAACACCGATATGTATGCGAGCACTGTGAAGGAGGAGCGCGAGGACATTCCGCCATCAGTTGATGGGACCTCCAAGTCGACTTCATGGGACAAGTGCTGCTCAAATGGTGGCAGAGACGGATTGCCCAATCAACGGTACAGCAACTAGTTGCACCCCGCTTCAAAAATTTCCACGAAGGGGTGTTGTCACCTCGCAAACCGAAGTGGTTGATGAAGTGATGAAGTGGAAGTTTTTTGCGATCCTTCCACAGTGCCAGAGGTCCCAGAGTCCGCCTTGGATGGCTTTGCCTGTTTTGCCATTGCAGGACTTCCACAAAGGTTGTGCTCTCCCATCGGTCCTTCGGCAAGATGAATACCGCCCTTCAGTCCTTCCAACGATCAGTATGCAGGTGTTGCAAGTGTTACCGGGCGAAGCATTGACCATTCAACCACTGAGCAAGAAGCAATCACGCAATCGAAGAAGTTGACCCTTGCACATTTTTTTTAACCGCCGACCCGGGAGCAGAAAGGAGTTCAACAGTGCTGGATGGATTGCTGAGGTATTCACTGTTTAAAGATCAGGATTGAAATAAGTCAGCAGATGCTACCATTGGATCCAGAGGAAAAAGAGATTTCTTCGAACACTGCTGGGACACCCAACCACAGAGG